TTGGCCTAATCACCTGTGTTGGCTTTATGTTTTTGGTCAAACATTTGTTTGTTTCACATTTGCATTGATGTAATCAATAATTGTTCTAATTCAATTTAATTAAAAAAAATAAAAAAAAATTTAAAAACATATATTTCTTGGGGGTGCTTAGGGGCCCCCTGGCGCCGCCCCTGCTACTGGTACACATGAAAAACTGCAGTAAATATACAAAGAACAGACACTGAACATCTATTGCGTGTGCCAGGTGTGATCCATGTGGGGGGATGGGCATATAAGAGCGGGAAATGTATCACATTGTTCTGTGTGTGTTTGTGAGTGCCAGGTGTGATTCACACATCTAGAGGGGGAACACATCTAGTGTGTGTGTGTGTGTGTGTGTGTGTGTGTGTGTGTGTGTGTGTGTGTGTGTGTGTGTGTGTGTGTGTGTGTGTGTGTGTGTGGACCGGGAACACCATGGGTGTTACAAAGTTGACTAAATCATCCAAAATTCAATGAAAGTGGTGATCAGCAATTTCATATGTTCAAATGTCTACTGTGAAGGATATCAAAAAGTCTTGAATCAATCGAATGTAAAACAAAAAAGTTATGATTGATGAAAGCAGTAAGACCCGAAGACAACAGGAGGGTTAAAAGGAATTACGAATAAGTACTTATCATGATTATAAATCACTGAAAAAACATACCATACCAGTTGCTGGCTGAACTTCTTTTTCACCTCGCCCTAACCTTGACTGAGCCAACAAATTGAGCACACTATTCAGTGTTGAATAAGTTAACCTTGCCATTTCTTATTTGCTACAGTAAAGCAGAGGATAAGGAAGTCAGTCTGTTTTACCAAACAGAAAAAGGTTAAATTAATTAAAATTATCCGGTTGACAAAGGACACGTTGAAGTTGCCAAGGTTCCGGGTTTACTTGGCCAACATTTGGCAGAGGTGTTTTTGTACTTGTTCAAACTGGAGTCAAGCATTTCTTGGCAGTATAATCCATAGTCAAGATGAATTCACATTTGATCTTGATGGAATCATAAAGGGGCACTTCATTATATAGAAAAAAATCAAGTAAAACAAAATATACAATCCACTTAAATTGGATCAAATGTTTTTGAAGCATGATATATCATCCTGTGCTGCCTTTATTTTCAGATTTTTAACTATAAAAAGCATTTTCTTTATATAATTTTGTCCATTTAAAAAATAAATGTTATGCCTCATTTATTTATTCTACTTGTTTCTCCATGTATCTGTTATTTTTCTGTCTTTGTCCTGTTGCAAAAACAAACTAATGTCCTTGCTTGGAATCAATAAATGTTCATCCTTTCTTAACTCTGTTATGGAGCACTTTACTTTCTTTTAGCAGCTATTGATTACATTTTTAGGAACCACTCTTTGAGACAAGTACATAATAATCTTAGTTTTAAAAGCATCCATCTTGTTTGGAGATAACTGTGGAGCAACCGGTGATCCAGCGACAAAAATCACTTTGAAGTATAGCCTTGGTTACTTTGACAGTTTGTTGGTCTGATAGTAAATTGCTTAAAGCTCACAGCAAACAAAGTATTATGCAAAATGCATGCAATTAATCATCGAGAGGGCGGTTCGTATTTTTTATGATTATGAATGGCCTTTGCCATGCTGTGGGGTCATCTCACCTCTCTGAAATATTTACATCATAAACAGCATGAATTATGGAGGTTGTGGGAAGGGCGCTGCTTTAGGATACACATTCCTTTATTTTCATCAGCTGGGGCGGTCAGAAACTAGCCGTCCGCAGAGCTCTGCATGGAAATGAGATGCTCCCTTTGTGGGTCACGTGATGCCTGAAGGACGTTGTTAGGATTCAAATCCCCTGTTGGTCAGTCAGATTGGTGAGAAGAAGAGAAAAGAGAGCGGCTTCCAGCTCAATAGCCACAGCACGAGATCGATATGATAATGCTGACACGCAGGAAACAGTGACACAGAGAAGTGTTTTAAATGTGTGTAATAAACAGGAAGGGTTGGATGGCTTTGCATCACATCCCCGGTCCTTTTTGACCCTTTTTTATAACTTTGAAAGTGCAACATAATGAATCAAGCAAAACACATTGAGACATTTAGAGTTGATGTCAGTATCACACTGGCGGCAAAAGCAATACAGCTGGCAGCAGGATTTCTGTGCTTGTCTAGATTTCAGTTGGCAGCTTTCACACAGGAAGTTAGTTAAACAATTATTTCAGATTGTTTGACTTTCTTTCTAAATACTGACAGAGCGCTTAGGGGAGCTTTAAGTTGTTGCTGTAAATACAACAACACATTTGAAAGTTGCTGCACCCGTTTGTAAAACATAAAAAACATAGTTGAATTTCACTAAATACAGAACGTATTTGTAACCCTTGATTAGATATTCACATGGACATACTATTGCTATTCACACCATTATATGGCAATTCCCCTGTGTATTTGTTAAATTATGAATATTATTTTTGAATACAAAACATCTATTACTCATATTTATGCATAACGTATTTTTTTTTAACGACTAATATGCCAATACATTCTGTTAAAGCACTTCATTACACGGTGCATGTTGATTGGACAGTGTTAACGCTTTAATTCTCCTGCTGTTTGTAACACCTTAAGCACCGACTATTAATCACAGCAATACATATGCAATAATATTTCAAACATGGGAAGCTGTGGTGGACGATTTGAAAAAAAGATCTCATTTATAGGGTTTTAACTTTGAGATGTTGGTTATAATATTCTGGAATCAGGCTTTTCACATTGTTGGTTCTTTTTTCTGATGCATGGCTTTTATTGAATATCATTTTGAAGTATAATGTATCGATGGACAGCTACAGTGTTTATAGCACCAAAAAAAAAAAACTTTTTAAGAGGGTGTTATATGTAAGCGGTTTTGGACTTTAAATGATTCTGTTTTGTCTGTCAAGCTATGAGAATATCTTGTTTTAGTTTTTACAGTTTTACAGTGGCGACAGGAGTGGATATGATCGACACAGCTGCACATATATAGTTCACGGTTGCGTATTTCTTCGAAGGAGGGAAAAAAAACATGGGTTAATGTTTTAGCAACCCCTTCAGCTAACTACTTCTGCATTGACTGTTAATGACACAGACAAGAAAGATGCATCTGTCACAACTGATTAACAACAAGAACAACAGCTACTGTATGTGAACACATGTGAGGCTGAATAATGCCTTGAATCAATGAGCATATTACGTGTGATTATCTGGAAAGTGCCATTCTCCAAGTGACATGGTATATTCACAATTAGCAGAAATGCAGAAATACTGGCAGATCTTTCCTGTCAGAGGCCCGATCACGCATAATGTATTTTCAGCGTGCAAATATATGTGTATCCAAACACGCAAATGAATTAGCCTGGATGTGATTCTTTGCAATATGAAGCAAGCATATAAACATATTCCCTCAGATCCTTTTTGTTCTATTCTCTTGCTTTTGAAGGTCTTTAGCTGATGCTGATGCTGCTGCTGTTGTTATGTGGGTAACAGCAGCCAGTTTCCAGAGAAGGGAAATCGTCCTTGGAGCAGACCATCAGGAGAGAGAAAGAGCGAGGATGCCTCCACCTCCTGTTGTTTGTCCGGGATGCCAAGCTCACGCTCAGCATGCCAGGACCCACGCGGGCGCTCAGGCCGGCCGGAAAAGACAGAGCTCTTGGAAGAGTGCGGTGCGTTCGGAGCCAACGCGGCGCTCATGCCAGGCAGAGCAACTGTGGCCAGCGTCTGCTAGTGCATCTCTCTCCTCCCTTTACCCAACGGACCTCAGGGGGAAGGATGCGACCATCAGGGGACTGCTAGTCCATCCGGGCCAAGCCGGAGGAGAGACCCCATGTGGGGGGAGTGGGAGGTTTGTGGCTGCTACTCCAAAACAGCCAACAGCCTGCGATCTCTGAGAAGTTACTTACTGCTGATGACTCATTTAACACAAAGCATCCCTACTGCCTTGGAAAGTGCTACGCTAAGCATTTTCAAACATGAACAAATGCAGTAGGTCAGTGGTGATTTAGGAATGCTTCTCCAAATTAATGTCACATTTAATACAAATGTCACTGCTTCCTGTCACATGCTTCATATTGATAAATACATCCAAGTGCTTGTTTTTATGTCCTGATGAAGATATACTATTTCAGATTAATTCATAAATTATATTTTTTATCTAGATTATTTGTATTATTATTATTATTATTATTATTTACAAAGAATGTTTAAGCATATAGCTGAATATCATTTCCTATATATTTTTCATTTAGCAATTTCGGGGCCTTTTTATTTTACATTTTTTAAATAATGTTTATTATTATTATTATTGTTATTGCTATTATAATAATAATAATAATAATAATTATTATTATTATTATTATTATTATTATTATTAATGTATTCATAAGGCTAAATCTAAGAAAATATATATATACAAAAATGTGAAATATTTGGGATTTGTTCATTGTACATTTTTGAATATATCCCCGCTCTATATTTTTTCAGGGATTCTGCTAATCAAAATATATACACTGAACTATCAAGGTTAACATAGTTGTTGTCTTGTGTTCCATGCATAATTTACGTTTATTGAGTTTTAATACACAGGAGTAGCCTACCAGATAAAGATCAACGTACACCTGCTTTCTAATCACACTGAGGTACAGGCAGAGAGGAAAGAAAGGCACTGATGCAACCGGCTTGGGAATCCTGTGATTGTTCAGTGCGAACGCATTCAAACGTGGGTGTTTTCTACAGAGGACAGCTACGACACATTTATATTTCCATCATGCATTTTATCTTGTGGATGATGAAAGTGCCGCAGCGAGAAAAGAGCAGAGAGGATGTGTGACATGAAAACTGGCCACTTGTTTTGCCGCTGCTCTGAATCCTGAATTAGTATTTGTGAGGGAATCCTGATGAGAGTTAACAGAGCTTGTTTGCAATCACTGGTTCTGCAGCTGGTAGATGCTGCCGATCATCTCTGCAGGCATTACGCAACATGTCAGCTGTGACCTGCATGCACCTGACGGAGAAACCAGAGGACTGTAAAGCAACAGGCGGACACGACAGTCATCCGTCGCACAGGGTAAACAATCGGAATCTGGTTTTGTTTCAGTGTTATTTCCCCCTGTTTGTTTTATTTGAATGCCTCCATGCTGCCAGTCACCTGAGACCTTTTCAACAAAGGCTGTGACAACACATCTGCGGCAGATCAGGTTGCCACGCTGCGTTTTGAATGATAATTGTGCAGCATCACATTGATTCAATATCAAACACAGCATTATCTTTCATTGATCGCACCTTTCTTTCTAAACAAAGATGATATATAGGCTAAGGATTCAATTACATGGCTTGAAAATAAACCGGATCGATATAAAAAGTAATTTAGTGCAATATGGTTCAATTTGTTGAAGCATGTGAGTTTGCAGGTGAGGTGAAGTGCCATATCGAGCCTCAGCGTCAGACTTTGAATATTTCCCCATTTTACATCATTTTCCCTCCACGTTATCAATGCAATCCGACAGCAAAAGTTTGTGGAGTTAAACTAGAAGACAGGAAACTACTGATACTGCAGTAATGTTGTGTCACTTGACAGACAGTTGCAGCTGTTGATGAAACCCTCACATCATCATGTTCCTCGTGTGGGAGGACTTAAATTAACATAACGGAGGAGCGGGAAGGACTGACACGTCTCGACACATACTAACCAGGTGTATACTGTATGAATGCTGCAAGGATGAACCCTTATCACCCCCCACCCCCACTCTCCCTCATCAGTGCATGATAAACCAAATGATGTGGCTCTCATTTGGCGCATTTGTTTGCATGTGTGAAAAATAATGGCGGCAGGAGCAGGTGGAATATTGATTCGGCGGCTAACCCATATGGATCCCAAAAGCTGCTTGCCAAGTCCAAACTCCACCTTTACAAGCATATCTGGAGCAGAATCACCATATTAATTGCCAGTTAATGTGTTTACACACAACACAGATTAAACCCTGAGAGAAGCGAGTTGACCTGGGTCATACGGTCAGCAGGAGGGTCGTGTTTTTTGGCTAAAGAATCAGCAGGAGGAGGTGTCAAGCCAAATGAGCGGACAAAGGCACATCTATAAGGTGATAACATGGCAGCTGAAAGCCATCGGTCATGTAGCTTTTTGTTTTTTGACAGCTTTTATGTCAATATTCTTACCCTGCATGAATGGCAGTAAAAGTTTACGCAGGGATTCACTAGGCTGTGATGACATTTGTTGAACAGACCTGCATTTTGTATTGTTTATTTTTGGATGTTTTGGTCACAGCATGCGGTGGGGGAGGCGTTAAATGATTTAGGGGTCCCAGAGCAGGACAGAAGCCCTGGAACAGATATTTAACGTGTCAGGGCTGCTGCTGAGGGGATTTCAGGGGGACAAAAATGTCTAGCATCTACATGTATAACTCTTTCACTCCTTAAACTAGACATCAGACAGGACTGGAAGCGCTAATCTCGGCGTCGCGCACACCTTGATATTGTCACTGAGCGCTGCGCTCAAAGTGAAAGTTATTTCAAGTTTGACACCTTTCAACAATAAACAACTAAGATGACAGCAGGGGACTATAGAATCCATATAATGAAAATGAACTAGCTGGTTTCACAGCAAGGCTCTTCACCCTGTTAGCAAATAGAAAGTCGTGTGAGTCCTGTGAAGACAGCTTTACACTCTGGTATCTAAACTGACCCATTGCCCAAAAATAAAGGAAGCTAAACAATTGTAAAGTATTACTTTTACATTACAATACAACCAAACTGAAAAACGTTTCGGGGGAAACACATTTTCTCCCTGATTATAGTCGCAGTTTAAGACACTTAACTTTATACATTGAAAGAATACATACCAAAAATTGGATTAAACTACTTGGTTAGGTTAGATTTAACCTATACCTAACCTAACCATGACCAGTGTTTTATGTATACCAGTAGTCTGATACAATATTTACAGTTTGAAAAGTTGTTAAATGAAATTTGGTGATGATGAATGTATTTTTGCGTTATTGTAATAGCAGTTAAAACAGGACCGGTCAAATTTGACCGTGAACACCAAAGTAAGGGGGGGGAAACAAAGACAATAGGAGGGTTAAGTTGTGTTTGTTTTAGTGCTATTGTTCAGCTTTATATTATATTTACAATATGTCAGAAACTCTCACCTTCAACTTACCAATATAACATCATGAATCATTATCATTTATAATATATCCTTTGTCTACTTTATTCAATTTATGTATAAAAAGGGGAGGTGATTCAGTCGATTTGCATGTTATGATAATTGTTTCTACCTTGGGATTTCATTGCAAAATACAGTTTTTCATTGTTATAAAAATATGTTTGGTCTATAATTTTAACAACAAATGATTTTGGCATCTTTGGTTTGTTGCCATGCCTACCCATAGCCCTTTTTTTTCTTCTCCAAAAACACACAAATAACCTCTGCTCTCAAAAACACCTTAATAAGATATATTATATAAGATAAAAGTGACAAAGCCAATCACCTTATGCTGCTGGAGAAGTGTTCAACCTGGCACTAATGTGGGAGACTGTTAGGCAGGGGGGGGTGCTGGGGTCACAGTCCACCAACACACACAGAACACTGAGCTACACCCTTTTCATCTTCTGCAGGTGGGGAAGTGGAGTGTGTCGGGAGGTCTTAACATCACAGAACAGCCGAAGCGAAAAGGGATGAACATCACCGATTCCCTGGCTAACCGATCCCTCGTCATCACCACCATCCTGGTAGGTAACCCGTGTAGCCTAGCGTAAAACATATCATACCCTTCATGCCTCCTCAGATTTCCTTCCAGATAGTACAGCCACGCCACAGTACTAAATTGTAAGCATCAGCCATGTTACATTATATAATAATGCAACATTTTATAGAAGTGTACACACACATGATACTTGTGATATGTAAACTTAATGTAGGATTTCACATTGTATTATTATAATAACTGAGGTCTCACGAAGCAGTTATTCCCCTAATCGCATCCCACAACAGTAGCTTTGCACAGCAGGCCTGTCAAACCTAGTATTTCCCCCACATAGTATCGCACACATGGCTGTAGTCAGAGAGATATTACTCAGTATTCAAGGAGTTGAGACGGTAGTAAGCTGTTTTTCTTAGTTTTTCTCTACCAAAACAGAGCTTTCAACCACCTAATGGAGCTAGCGTTAGCTTATTTAGCTTGCTAGCTACAGTTAAAAAAAAGCTAGAGATAGTTTTCATTTCAGCTTGTTATCAGAAGGGCATGCTTTAGTTCAAAAATAAAGGGTTCATTGTCTGGAAAATATCAGTGATAGTTTGAAATGTTGAGTATGCCCTCATCATTAACTGCATTAAGTATGACGTGGGAGAGCAGGGAGCTTTGACAGCATTAACAACAGTAACTACAATGATCAGGGATTCATTTATGAGCATGTTAAATGAGAAGGCCTGGCAGAAAGGAGTCAGGAATACAGAACAAACTATTCCTGCGACTGCAATAATTACATGTGCAGACAGAGAGAACTCTCTGATCCCTTCCCTTCGCTCGACACTGCATTCATTTGTAGATCCCTAGTTGTATGTACTTAACACTGTCAATGGATGCTGGGGTCTTTGTGGAGCTATCAGAGAGGTGCTGACACAGATGTTCCCCCCCCTGCACCTTTTCAGGACAGATATACAAGCCACAACAATAAACACTATCATTATGCCTATATTGGACCACAAGGCTGTAATTATGAGTAAGGCCAAGGGGAGCATAATGAATGCCTATCAGGTGCCATCTATGTTGATTTGGGCTCTAAAAGGAGACATTGAACAAGGTTTAAAGTGCTCTAATGTTGAACTATTGCACTAGGTAGTTGTAGTATTGGCTGGTTTTATGTTGTAGTAAGAGTGGTGGTAATGTTTCTCCCCCAGTACTGTAAGTGTTTGTACATTTCCCCTCTGTGGGACGAATAAAGGTATTAGTCACATTTCACGTTTACTTACATTAAAATGTCTTGGACCCCTTTTGCTTCAAGTGCACTTGAGTTTTGACATGTTCCTCGATTTTTCCTATTTTGTCTGGAATCATTAGTTTAAGATGATAGAAATTGCCTACTTTCAAATTGCAGAAGCGAGTTTAAACTTTAATATCAATCTCCCCTCTTAGTGTAATGACATTGCATCAAACTGATTCCAGTGATGCATGAACAAGACGTCTGACAGCTTTATAGTGATAACTTTGTCGAAGAGATTAAGGCACTTAATGTGTTTTCCCCCTTACATTAATTGTTTGCACTCCATTGCCTGTAATGTCTCTTCGCAAGCCCGCCTCCCTCCTCGTTCTGTAATGCACACCCATGCTGCGACTGCGAGGGTAAAACTGGTATAAACACTTTGATTTGAGTCCAAACCTTGGGGAATAGCAAGAATCGGAGGGCTAGAAACAGATGGTAATGACTTTTTCCCTTCACATGCAAACTTTTTGATCAAGTTAATTGGACAACTTTAGAAAAGTATGCGGCGAAGCACTTGCTCTCTAAATGCATTTTCATCAAATATTCATAACATATTATTTATTTAAAATACCATTGACATTGTGGTGTCCAAGTGGCTTCATATTTTGTAGGCTAATAATTAAGGATGTGTATCATCACTGTGTTTTTTTAGGCATTTTATTCCAGAATGTATGGAATAAACTATCTCCTGCTTAATGCCAGTTTATGCATTGTACTGTAGAGGCAATTTAACAAATAGTGCAACTGTGTCAACATGACATTAGCACATGATGTTATACTGTAGTGTTGACCCATACACTAATCACCTCCATGAAAAATAAATCCCTCTTTCCTCTTTGACTAATATCTTTATATTGCCAACAAACATAGCAAGGGTCACCTTCACTAGAGAATCAATTACGCTGTTTCTGTACTTAGTTTCTAAATTATACATCTGGCTATTCGAGGCAATACATTGTATTACAGCCTTGCATAAATGGACCAACATGTTATGAGATGCACAGTGGGACATGCAAGTTTATCTGACAGGGAAATGGTAACAGGCAGTTTATAATGGAAATCATTTATGAGCTTCTCCGTGTAAGTCATTGTCACTGCAGGCCTCAGCTCGGCCCGCTCTCCCTCGGAGATTGGCGTCAATTGATGAAGGCGACGTCGTGGGCATGTTCCATTTCACCGCTGCATTCTGTTTCTAATCAAGCTTTTATAAAGGGCCGAATTATGAGCAGCCAGGCAGGATATTACAGACCAGTAAAGAGTGTCAGCAGCCCGACTATAAAACAAACCGACCTGTGCACCAGTTATATAGGTCAACATACAGCTGTGTAGGTTTAGTAATCTCCCTGTATACACATTCCTTCTGTATGCATTACCATCACTATAGCAAGGCACTTAATTTACATTAGAGTATTACATTAGCTTAGGTCTCTTTTGGTTAATACAAATCGATGTAGGAAAAGCTCAGCCGCCTTTCATATTTGAACACTCCCTGTACCCGCACGCTGAACTCGAATCTGCTGTCACTGCCTGTTAAATGCAACAGCGACTCATCAGCTCAGATCACTTTGCTTCAATTAAGTGCATGTGCTGAAACAAATTGAAAAAGCTGACCTCACCATTGCGTTTCATTTGATCTTTTGGGTCTGTGCAGGAGGAGCCATACGTCATGCTTAAGAAGTCTGACAAGGCGCTGGTTGGGAACGACAGATTCGAAGGATACTGCATCGACTTGCTCAAGGAGCTGGCCGTCGTCCTGGGCTTCACGTATGAGATCCGTCTGGTTCCTGATGGGAGATATGGCTCTCAGGATGAAAAGGGCCAATGGAATGGCATGATAAGGGAACTGATAGAGCATGTAAGTTGTATTTCATATTGTCTGCTTCACCTTTTACTTATATTCCCTTACTATAGTTTCGCGATAGGCTTTTTTGTTTATTGCAAGGTACCAGATAAAAAGATAGATGCCATTTGTATGGTACATACTGTATGTAGCTAAAGCCAGCAGTGTGTTGGCCTAAACGGTCAACTTCATCAGTTTCTGCTCTGAGCAATAGTAAGTAAACGACCAGGATATAATTCACTTAAAACGTACATTTTGGTCTCAGTTTTGACTTAACAAATGAAGCATTGTGTTATTGTGCTATAGTTTGTGTATGTTGTTAAAGGGGGCCAGGCAGCATGTTCCTGTGTCCAGGCTTTATGCTAAGCTAAGCTAATAAACTGCTGGCTCCGGTTACATATTTACATATTCTGCAAACATAAGAGATATGAATCTTAATAATATCATCCCAGCAAGAACGCTATTGAGTGTTCATTTGTCAAAATGTGAAACTATTCCTTCATTTTTTTTTTTTATGTATGGAGCTTCATATGCTGTAAAATATTTTACATCATCACACAAACTTACAAAAGCATGCCATTGAACAGAATTGAAGGTTATGTCCTCTGTGTCTCCAGTGATATAGTTATGATTGAGTGCAAGTCAGGAAGAGCCTGCAAAGCTGTCAGTTACATTTATGGCACAATTATGTCAAGGTTGCCTAAAAGTTACAAGTGTGTTGATGCCATTGAGTGAGACGAACCACTTCCTTCAGCGGGATAAGAAAGAAACCCAGGGTGAGCATGTGATCCTGCATATATTGAGAGGAGGAGAACACAGCGCAATCATCCTGCTGAGGGATAGTGGGCAATCGCAGCTGTCTGTGTCAAACTCAGAGCCTCAGCGGCCATGAAACAGCCTCACATCGAAGCGATGGTGGCAATTCTCTGCTGGCATTTCATAAGTGTCCCTGTCAGTGTTCCCTCTTTGTCCTCAGCCCCATCGGGTCAGCGCTGTACTCAGCTGAAAACTTGTAATAGCTTAAGTGGCATTTAGTGCAGGGAATCGTATGGCAGGAGTCAATGGCTTGGTGCTGAAAGGGTTGGGGAAGGTGTCTCCCACTGCAGCACTTTATTTCTCCGTCCAAGCTTTTTGCTAGATCCGTGTTAATAACAATAACCTTCAGGGGAACAAATGGATTACTAAAGGCAGAGGATTCTGGCACCAAAAAGGGATGCATGACTCCATCATTAAGCAGCACATACGCCAGGTTGTTACAGAGAATATGTTCATAATCTTACAGCCTAAGACATTTCCTTTTATTTCCCTGTTGTTGTTGTTGTTTGTGGCATATGGTTTACATGTGATTGGGAAGATGTAGCATCTGGTAATTGAGACCTCTAGACTGACTTAATGTAAATATGAACAATGCTGAACACAAACATGAAGCTCCATGTGAAGCTCCATCTGCATGTGTTTTATAGAAGATATTCTACACTGGGCCGATACGTGAAATTATTATAATTTTGAGAATGTGCATAATACATTTTAGCTTCTTTTTCCCTTAGTCTATTGCCTTTGTAAATAGCAGCAGAAGTGAATGTTAGAACCTATACTGGTAGTTATTGCTTTTACTGAGCCTTATCGCATGACCAAGGGCGCATGATGTCTTCTTTGTGGATTTCTAGTGGCTTCTATTTTGTGCTCTAGTGGCTTCCTTACCCCTGCCGGTGTGGATAAGCTGATCTTGATTCAGCAAACCTGAAATATAAGCTTTAACTGAAGCTCAAGAGATCTGACCCTGGAATAATATGAGGCCAGTATGTCTACAGATTTCTTGGGAATAAAAGTCAAACTACCACATCTCCTTCACCGAGCGAATAAAGTTTAGGCTATTTTTCTTCCAAACTCTGAAAATGAATGCTTTGTGTATTGTGCACATCATACAAAGAGAGAGAAGGGAAAAGTAAATGGCTGCTGTCAATCGTTATCTGTTCAATTTGTATTCATAACTACTTTCTATTAACCTCTTAAAAACCCATTGCCCCTTCGTTGTAATACAGACCGAGAAGATTTATAACAGTTACTGAGGATCAGTGCCTTTACTTAGAAATGGGTCACAGAGTTACAGTAGATGAGGTCCGAGGTAGAAAACGGTTTTTTTTAGCTGAAACACAACGCTCATGCAATCCTGATATCAGCTCACATAGTGCACTCTTATAAATCACAGCTGCATTACAGAATTACACAAAACTGCTGACTGACATTTATTTAACAGAACAAGACTCGAGTTTATTAAAATCAGGTGTGCGCCTTCATTCTTCTCTGTAGTTCATCAAGAGTTGTCACATAGAGAAAGTGATGTGACAGAAATCGAGTAAAGCTCCTTAAGTGTTGCTTGCCTATATTTCCTGATGAATATGATACTATAATGCGATTTCCTTCCCATGTAACTGATGCTTCTGAATGAGGAACTGCAATGCAACACTTTAGCATTGTGTAACAAAGCCCTTATTTCCCTGTGCGTAGTCACAAAGCTCACTGCAGTGCCAAAGGGCATTGTTTGGAAGGTGCTAAATGATGCAACAGGCCTTGTTAAACTTGATTTAGTCACAATAGATGATCACTTTAATCACGCTGTGATGCAAATGTTAATAGCGTGCTTAGCACATCATTTGTTTCCGTCATGGCAATTGACATTATTTGCTTCGACAGACACACTGGAAGGTTGTAGTCAGCCCACATCATCGTTGTCTCACATAGATAGACACTGTAGAAGTATATCTATGAAATGCCAAACCAATTAAGGTGTATTCAGATAAATCTCACATATTTTGTTTATAAGAATGTCCTGGTAAACGAGGAAAGCATCTGAATGGTCACGTGTGATTTTGATTTTGATCCGAGGCAGCAGGATGACCTTGTGGTGAGAGCAGCTGACCCGTAGCGGCGAGGGCTAAAGTTAAACTGCCTCAACAGCAAACATGTCTGTCCCGCCTGTCAAAGCGCCGCTAAGTAAATCCCAGCTCTAGGCCATCAAGCTCTGAACGTTGTGCTTATGCAAAGCAAACATTTCTTGATTACAGTGCATGTCATCATCATTAGCCCTTTGTACCTTTTGATTTCAGACTGCATTCTGTAAGAGGCATCCTCACTGTTGTGGATAGCAGTGTGGAAGTAGGCTATGCATTCATTCCTAAACATTGGTTTTGTAAATGCATGTTCAAAAGGGGAATTAGACATTACATTACATGTCACTTTTTAGACGCTTTGACTTACATACTCAATACTGTGGGCAATCCCCACAGGAGCAATTTGGGGTGAAGCGTCTTGCCCAGGGACACAACGACATGCTGACTGCAGTGGGGTTTGAACCTGTGACCATCTGATACCAAGGCTCTATCCACTGCGCCACACGCAACATTTTTATATTTACTCAATATTCTAATAGCAAAACCTTTTGTGGAGCTCATATCATTGTTCAGAAAAGTGTGTGTCTTGAAATGCTTCTCATTCTACTGAAGCAAAAATCTGCTTTTGTAACAGTCCTAAATGTTTGTATAAAACTAAGAAAGGAGTACCACATGAGCTCTTTACTTAAGTGCGATACAATCTGCAAATTAGCATTGTGATTGCAAGCTGTGAAATGCACACAAACTGTGTAGCATAGTGTGTAAATGTTTGTTAAGGGATCAAAAGCCTTGGTTGTAAGCGGTATGTCATTATGGTATGTTTGGAGTGTGATCAAATGCCTGAGAAACACAGAAACAAAGAAAAAGCTCACTGTAGTAATGCTCAGGTATCCTCAATGTGTACGGACATGGATCAATTGTTATTTTATGAATCCTTCAGGCTATCATCAGGTGAGTATGTCCGGAGGGAGAACACCACTAAGCCCACCACCTGCAGACCCAGATAACACCGAGCCATGTGGCACGCAGCAGGGCACTATCAGGTTATCTTGCTTGTGCCCAGTTTGTGTGTCTAAACACACGGCAGAACAAGGACATGCGGCATGTATATTAGCCCACCGTAGGGATGTCTGGAATCACATGCTGGTTGATCTTCCGCCTGAGTGGCAGGTCGGTTCAAAGCAGCAGTTGGCAGCAGAGAACAGAGGGAGCAGTATGTGATGTACACATTTGAATAGTTTAAGAGAGACAGCAGACGCACTGCAGGATGCATCGGATTTCCCATCTTTCCGTCTCTTCAGAAGCCCCCGTGTATTTAGCTACCATGGTGCTGACCACAGGAGAACATAAGCCGCAGCGCCACACTGAAAGAGGGAATGTTTTCTTTCTCACCTTCGTATACCGTTATGCGGTATTAATCCCAAGAATTTAAGCAAAACGCTGTCTGAGCCACGGGGAAAGTTTAATTCGTGTTAAGAACAGCCTTAGGGTCTAGTATCGAAGTCAAGAAACTGATATTATCTGGTGTTCGATGCAAACGGGAGCCATCGAATACACTAGTTCATAATATGCAAAATGGCTGTTCACAATTCAACTCTTTTTCAGTTTTCTATTAATTAGGTTGTGTGTGTTTCTTGAACCAGCTGCTAATAGGTTTAACAGTTTTGCATAAAGCTCCAAAACATGGTCTCTCATTGTGTTTGTTTGAAATGCTGCACGATGAACTGTTTTTTTGAACAAGCCCTGTTCCTCTGTAGTTGCTCAGCACAGGAAGAGAAGAAAGCCTTCCTTTGTGAGTTGTGTCAGTTCTTGGTGGATAGAGGTATCCGAGCGTGCACCGAGCAGCTGGTTTCATTAACCTCCTGTCCAGCCGGGTGCCGGGGAGTGGTGGGCGCTGCCAATTTAAATGGTAGCCTTCTGAATATGCAGTCAAACGTGTATAATACTGACTGCAACTTATCTGTTATGCTCAGCTGTCTCCATTGCCCAATGCAATATGGTGTTATATGCCATTCTATTGAATCGATATGTCTGTGTGGATGGAACTGTATCTGATACACTGGAACAATGTTTCTCCATTGTGCATCATTGAAGAGATATTATACGTCTTACAGGGAATGACACTGCAGTATATGGTGGCCTAAACCCAATTTTTACATAAAAGAGCACCCTACTAGTGTCCTTCTGATAGAGTTCAAAGACATTTTTGAGCTTGCACACGAACCTGCTCATAAGGACAACGCTAACATGCAGTATGAATAATGTTTACCATCTTATTGTAGAAGGTAAGGACGTTATTAGTTTTGGACGAACTAGAATTTAAATCTGATCTCCCGGTACAGTTGTTGAGACATTTTACTTAAAGCCACAAATGTTAACCTCACAATGGCGCTACAGAAAAAGTCAGGGGATCGCCAAATTCATGAGGATTCATATGTTGTAACCATGAATGTCTAAACCAAAATGTAATTGGTGGTAGTATTTCAGTCTGGAACAATCATTTCCGAACTGTCTTTGCAACCTCTTGAGCAACGCTTCCAGCTTGGTCAAATGAATCAATCTGTCAATATCATAATTAAATGTTCTGTTTGTTTGTGTTTCTCTACAGAGGGCAGACTTGGCAGTGGCTCCCTTTACCATCACCTATATGCGTGAAAAGGTCATCGACTTCACCAAGCCCTTCATGAACACGGGAATCAGCATCCTGTATCGCAAACCCAATGCCACCAACAACGGCTTCTTCTCCTTCCTGAACCCCATGACTCCTGACATCTGGGTCTACATCCTCCTGGCCTACCTGGGTGTTAGCTGTGTCCTCTTTGTCATTGCCAGGTAAGTCCGCAGGTTACTGTTAGTCCTATAGGTCCTGCATACATTTCTCCTTCAGGTCTCTCAATGAGTAATTTCCTCATTGCAGGGATTCGAGTACACCAATTTCTCATATGGTGCTAGCTGCTAGGTAGTGATCAAGGTATTAATCTCTGCATGGGCTCTCTACAACCCAGCACGTAGAGGAGAAATAGGAAAAAAAAAAGAAAACTTCAATTGAGTTGTAAAGTTTCCCTCAGTGTGCAATTTCATCTTTCCCGTGTGATGCCTTTGGAATTGGCGTAGCACATTTAATCGGTCGTTTAAAAAGAATAAATACTGGCTTAATGATCATATTCAGCAGTTTCAAAGAAAAACAGTATACACATCGACGGAGGCTATATATAGTTGAACATAATTATTATCATAAACATTCATGGCAGTAAAAAGTCATAAAAAGATTATGGATGGAGATTAGCTGTTTGATTGGCTCTCACTTGTAAATTATTTTTGGCATGAATATGTTGAATATCCTGTAAGTATTATTGTGAGCGTTTCCTGCTGCTTTTCATTCAAAGTGGTGCTTTAGGAAGTTCTAGAAAGGGGCGCTGAAAGGAGTTGACTTGAGAGCAAACAGCTGCACTCCTCTATCCCCATTCGTTGTTTTGCGAGACCAACATAATTCTGGAGTGGCTTCACATAAGTACAAAATCATCTTAAACTGTTGCATCAGATTTGTTGGAGGCCGTCCTAGAGGGCTGAAAAGCCGCATCCCTGAAAGTGCATTGTGTGTGAGCATAAAACACACATTGTTGAACAAAGAAAAGGTTACTTTTGAACGTTGGACAGAGGTGTCAGGGCATTAACAACAATGCTAGGCAGAAAACACTTTGGCTTTGAAAAGCAATGCTTCATCATAATAATCATGTTTTGAGGCGTATTCTCCACTGGACTCTTTTCAAAATCCTGTTTATGTCGCTCCCCCCACTTTTTTTGACCAGGAAAATTGTGCAAACTATGCCACTGTTTAACAAGCAGTCAGAATTTGGCTGGGAATATGATTTGAGCTGTTGGCTTTGCTCTGATATACTCCAAAGGTTGTCCAGTAAGCTGTGGACACAGAAAGCCTGCCTATGCAGTACTACAGAACATTTCAGAGCCTGTGGATGCAGACGTGCTCAACAAGCTAACTGAATGACCGAGCAGCTCAGAAAAATGGAACGCCAACAGTGGCAGTAGTCATTTTTATTTTTTTATTTTGGAGATGGGATGATAAAAAGAAAGGGAATGCTATTTGGTTGATTATATGGCATTTTGGTAGTAAAGCCTGGATAATCATAATTTTCTGTCTCGTCTGTCATTCTATTTATCCTACGCATATTTCAGTTCCATGGACAGGGAGCGGAGGTCTTGTTTGTATAAACCTCATAGGAAAAAAAAGGCCTGCATTGAGTTACATGCTTATATCTACAGTAGAAGGTTACCAACAAGTATTCAAAACCATTGGTGGAGACTGAGAAAAACCTTCTACTTAGTTAAAGTACTAATTCCACACCGGGAAACGAGCCGCATTCAAAAATATTAAAGGTCACCTATTATACTGTTTTTCATCAATATATTACAGGTCTCAGATATATACAAACATGTCTCTGAAGTGTTTTGCTCGAAACACCAAACAGATCATTGCAGCATCCCATAATCCCCTCTGTTTCAGCCCTATTTCAAAAGTGCTGATTCTGTGTGTTACTTTAGATGAAAATAAGGAGCCCCTCCCCACGCCCCTCTGAGAGATATTTGGTTAAAAAGAACACAATGGTGCTCTAGGAGGAGATTCAGGTGATAAGGTGGGGGGGTACCTTGATTGGTTATTGGCTAAGGCTGGCGTCACACTGTCCCGAAATTGACACCAGATGGACACACGAATATGGAATTGTGAATTTTGCACGAAGATGGCCCCGAACTTGGTCAACAGCCGAAGCGAGTACGATGCCTACAGAAGGCCACACGATGGCACCCGAACCACATACTCCGTCAGGTTATTTCCATAGCAACAACAACAACTTCCTGTCAACAGCGTAAACTCGCCTTCAAAATAAAAGCATCTAAATAAAACAGGAAGTTAACCTAAATGATACTTAAGACATGCAACGAAAGTAACAAAAACTATGTAATATCCTTTTCCAGTTTCACAGAACACAAATTGTACTATAATACGATTACATTGCGAGGGCTTCACGTAGTCGTGTTGCCTTCCTAAGACAATCAGGCAGCTTCTTGTTTCCTTCGTATTGTCTTTGCGAAGCGAAAAATGCCCGATGGCAACAATGATGACATGAAGTAAAGACGAAGATGACACGATTTGACAAGATGCCCTCACGAGTGCCTTACGAAGTTGCCGCTCACAAAGTTGCTGCCGGAGCCTGAGAAACTNATTAAGTTTTCTCCGTCATGTTGTTTCCATAGCAACAACAACTTCCTGTCAACTTGCCTTCAAAATAATATATTATATCCTTTTCAGTTTCACAGAACACAAATTGGGTTATTTACATAATATGTTTACATGATTTTGTTGTGCAATTAACAACCAGATGGACACACGATAAAGGAAATGTTCAAATTCGGCTCTGATCGTAGCAACATCGGGCCATTCGTGAGGACATCTTAAACCTTCGTATGACCGCCGGTGGAGTTTGTCAGGCGCCGGCAGCAACTTCATGAGCGTGGACAAAATCTTTGGCATGCCAAAAAATTGCCGAAGGAACTTGCGAAGATTCAATTTCGTGTTGAATGTGGTGTCAATTTTGCCCTTCGTAAGGCCATCGTTAGGGCATCTTGTTATCATCAGTGCTCAGAGTGAGGGCGAATGCCCGATGGCACCGATGATAACACGAAGATGACACGATTTGACAAGATGCCCTCACGAGTGCCTTACGAAGTTGCCGCTCACAAAGTTGCTGCCGGAGCCTGAGAAACTCCACCGGCGGTAATACGATGGCTTAAGATGCCCTCACGAATGGCCCGATGTTGCTACGATCAGAGCCGAATTTGAACATTTCCTTTATCGTGTGTCCATCGAGTGTCAATTCCGGGACAGTATGACAGGGGCTTTAGTATTAAGCATCTGGATGTGTGTTTTAATAAAAACAGAAATAAATGCTAACCATGATATATGTGCAACACACACACACAGTGCTGAATGAGGGTATATTCCCCCTATATAAGTGTATGGAGTACATGATTGGACGGTGTGAGCCATGCCACCACGGGCTGACACAGGAGCAGAGTATTCATTCAGTGAAATTACAGACCTGAGGGGTAGTTGATGAGAAATGTCACTGCAGACAAAAATAGAACCCTAATATATTCCGTCTCAGGTTTGTTGGACACTTATTAATGTCTCTCATTGAGTGCCACTAATTAAGGTAGTCAGTCTGGTGGGCAGATGAAACGTGGGACAAATAAAGTGTGATCTGAGAGCAAAAGAGCTGCGATGAGATTATAAGTGACACATTTAGCATCGTTCTGAAACACTGGGAGTACGCAGGCTTCTTAAGTTGAGCAACAAAGTTCATATTGTAGACCAGCAATAGACATCGTCTTTCTATTAATCTTTAATGTTATAATTATTATGATATATATTTTTAAACTGAATCATGGTAGATACATTACACAATGTAATCAGAAAAAACGTAACAGAAAAACATTGGTGTAAAATAAAATTAACAAATGGGTTATCATTTTTGGAAATTAAGCAACCTAAATGCTTTTACATTCAATAGTTTATAAGCAATACACATCATGTGTTTAACTCAGTACACTTGTTGCTCGGCTTCTTTTGAGTGGTATGACCTGTACCTTATGGTGGCTAATGTTAGCATTGTAAGCTAGCTTCATTACCAAACACAACCAGAAACAAATACACCAATCAGCAGTCAACATCCCTGTTTTCCTCCCTGAAAAGTTCTCCCTGAAAGTGAACTTCAGCAGCCATATGTAATGTTTCCCTGTGCGTTGAACGCTCTCCGGTCAGCGGAGGCAGCTCTGGCTCTGGAATGCAGCCGCTCTCGTTTGCTGCCCACGGTGGGTGACTGTACGGCTCCAGTAAACACCAAAATACTTTCTTTCCTTCCCTCTCTTCATCTGCCCACTCGCTTGCACTCCCTCAGCTCTATACATCCAATCAAACACACACACATATACACATGCACGCACACACAAGCACACTAGCATACCACACACACCCTGTCAGCATGCACCTGTGACTCCCAGCCTCTCTTCATATGCCACACATGTTCAGGAATGTCACGGCCCCGGCTGCAAATGGCTCCGGCACTTTGCAATAGAGCCATTTGAGTGTTTCATTTCCTGCCGAAGGAGTTAAAAGGACTTCCAAGGGTAATAAAAGCAAAGCAAGGCTGCATGGCGTAGGTGCCCAATAGGAGTGAAATCCCCCTACTGGACAAAACACACACACATAAACACACACACAAAAGCAATCCACAGTCGATATCTAAACTTTGATCGCTGTCTCCTGTAGGCGATGGTATTTTGTCTGCTGGTACTGTGGGATTGTTCTGCCCCAGAGTTCATCTATCAACAACATGTAGATTTTGAGAAAGATGTTGCTGTATGAACAACATATACTTACATGAAAGGCAGCAAGCAGCACTGAGACTAGCAGCTAGCTGGTGAAGAAAGTGTTTTCTAAGGAGAACACAACACAGCTAAAAATGACGTTACATTTTTTTTTAAGATATCCAGAAACGTAAAAGCTGGAGCCATATGCTGATTTAGTTACTTGTCCAATTAATGTCCAATAGGGACAGTTTGCTAACCTTTTAGCCGTAAAACAACTTCATATGGTAATACCATATCATATTGTTTGTTTATACATTGTTATTTGATGTATATGTATTTTTTCTGCTGTTCGTTTCAGTTCAGCCTTAGTTGTGATATTCCTAAACAAATTTGCAGTTGACCAACACCAACATCTGATTGACACACATATTGAGGCTGAGCTTTGGATGT